TTTAAGCTATAAATTTGATTCATGTGACTTCTGGGTACATATTCTGGGGCTTCCTTTTGAGTGGCTTTCGGTGGAAGTAGTATGCGAAGTAGCTGGAAATATAGGTCAAATGCAAGAAGCCAAAATTGAAACAAGAGGTATGGTGTCTTATGGTAAGGCACGAGTGACATTGGATCTCAACTTACCCTTGCAGTTCGGCATGCTTGCTGATAATGAAGGGAAGAAAATTTGGCTGGACTTTAAATATGAGAGGCTCCCTTTCTTTTGTTTCTCCTGTGGGAAAATAGGGCATTATGCTTCTGACTGTGAGGAGTTGCCATTTAGTGTTGAAGATGTGAACTTAGAGGAGGACAGACTGTTCGGCCCTTGGCTGAAGGCTGAAGTAAACAGTAATAGTCCATTTCGGAAGTTATTTCATGGCAAAGACTTAGTACAACCTATGGAAGAAGAAAGTATTCCAGAGACACCAACCCATTTTGGACAAATGGTAATCTATGAGGCGAGCAGCTCGGGCCACATCCAGCATACCCAACAAAATCAGGAGGATAAGGAAAAAACCAAACCCATTGGAAGGAGCAGTTCAGAAGATCAAAGTGAGCAACTGGTAAAATTTCATGACATCTCGGCGAATGACCAAGGACTTCCCAAAGAACTTGACCTGATCATGGCTCAAGCTTGCTCCAACAAAAAGAAGCTAAGAGGTAAGATAACTCCAACGCGGAAGAAGACTAGAAGGTTTAGTCCATATAATTCTCAAGGGGTCAAACAGTTACTATTAGATGAAGATCAACTACTGGAAATGCCAATCAGGATTGCGGAAGGTACTGGAAAATGGGCTATAGTGGCTAGCCCTAATAAGCCACCGGAGCCATTATGAAAATCATAAGTTGGAACTGTCAGGGGTTGGGCACACCCCTGATAGTCCAATACTTGAGAGCACTTGTGGCTCAGGAAAGGCCCGACTTGATTTTTCTTATGGAAACTAAAAATCAAGAAGACAGGATCCATGGGGTAAGGAGGTTATTGAATTTTGATGAATGTTTTGTTGTCAATCCAATGGGATCGAGGGGTGGCTTAGCAATTTTATGGAATATTCCCGCGGCACTGTCAATACTACACGCTTCAAATGCAGTTATAGATATTGAATGCAAAGAGGAGATCTATAAAACGAAGATGCGAGTCACTTTTGTTCATGCACCATCTACGTTCAAAGAAAGAACCAGAACGTGGGATGAAATCTACGGAATTAGCCAGAGAAACCAGCTGCCTTGGGTGTGCTTGGGGGACTTCAACGAAATAATGTATCATTGGGAGAAGGTGGGCAAAAGACTAGCAGAGCACTACAGACTTCATGCATTTAGGGAGTTTCTGCACAGCTGCGAATTAATGGACCTAGAAAGCAAGGGTTGTGCATATACAAGGTCTAATAACCGAGAAGGAATTGAGCTGGTGAAGGAAAGACTTGACAGAGCAGTTAGCACCATGAGTTAGAGATTACAATTCCCGGAGGCAAAAGTTTATGCATTACTAGCTGTGGGTTCAGACCATAGCCTAATCCTAGTAACTATCCTTCCAGCCAGAACAAGAAAAAAGAAGAATTTCAGTTTCGAAGCATATTGGTTAGAGGATGAGGAATGCAGAGAGGTAATAAACAGGGCATGGAAGTCTTCAACGAGCACAAACCAGGGCCTAGTAATCAAGATGAGAAAGGCGGCTACAGCTCTACAAAGATGGAGTAAGGGGAAATTTACGAATGGGCAGGGGAAAATAAAGCTCTTAATGGAACAAATTCAGTCCATAACAAATCTGCAAACTACAGGGAAGGAAAGAGTACAACTTCAAAAGTTGAGGGATGAGGTTCAAAGGCTATGGAGTCAGGAGGAAATGTATTGGGCAATGCGCTCGAGGATTAATTGGCTCAAGTGGGGGGACCAAAACACTAAGTTCTTTCACCCATCTACTATACAGAGGAGACAGAGAAACAAAATTTCAATGCTGAAGGATAATATAGGTAATTGGACCCGTGACCAAGAGCGATTAAAGACGATGACCTATGACTTCTTTAGGGATCTATATACCTCAGTTGGTCAAAGACAATTTTCTCCAATACTTCAACATTGCACTTGTATAGTGAAGGAGGAAACAAACACTAGGCTGCTTGAGGAAGTTACACTAGAGGAAGTCAAACAAGCAACCTTCCAGCTTGGTTCTTCAAGGGTCGCGGGTCTGGATTGTAACATCCCGAATTTCGACCCATTTCCGGGACCAATAAAGTGTATATTAATTCTCGTTTAATTTTAGTGAGTCTCGCCCAGACTTGATCAATCGCGGGATACTAACCCAATGGGAATGGCTAACTAGGAAACGGTACGTGGACCGGGGACCCGATTTCGAATTGGAAATCGATTTCGAGTAACGCCGAGGAAATATTTTGGGCCAATGTGGGCCGATCTTAGGAAGGTGACGGATTCGATTTAGCCAACGACGTACGATCGGATCGCGGGTGATTCCGCACGACCGAAAGTACGCGTGGCGAACGAATCCCGAATTTAATTCGAACGATCGTGACCTACGGCACTAGTGATAATTCCTCGCGTCCTCCCGAAAATCGAGGCCATCACGACTCGGACAACCCTAGGTCGATACGCGTAACCCCTAAACAGTCGCCCGTTAGTGAGAGGCCCTAAAATTCGGAAATGAGCAAATTTGATCGCGAAATTGGATCCGAACTTCGATGTCGAAATTTTGTGGACGTTTACGACTATTTTGCGAGGCCGACTTCATTTTTGAGTGGCCACACATATTTAGGATTGGTACGGTTGAAAAATGAAATTTCGACCCGGGACCGGAAAATTACCAAAATGCCCCTATGCCCTATTTTCATTATTCCGAATTTTGGGCTGAAATTTGAGGTTAATTAAGGAAATTATTAAAGAAATAGCAGTAGCCCAATAATTGAGACATTGGACAAAAATGCCCCTAAATTATTGGATGAGGACAATTGTGGGCCATTAGATCAAGGACAAAATGGTCAAGATGCTTAGGATTGTGACATGTGGCATCCACTAAGGGGTATTTGACCAACTTTGACCCCATTCTCTCTCTCCTCTCATCTCAGCCGGCCCCTCTTCCTCAAGTGCTCTCTCCCTCCCGCCGATCATTTCTCTCGGCCACTCACCGCCGGAGCGCCGTCGCCGTCCGCCGCACGCCGACACGCCGCCGCCGCCACGTCGTCTCACCACCACCACCCTCATCATTCGACTATCTTCTTTCTCTCCTTCTCCCTCTCCTTCACCGTCCGTGGCCGCCGTCCGCCGAGTGAGCCGACCGCCGCCGGATCGCGGTTCTCGTCGTCGTTCGCCGCCGGGAAGCCGAGCACGCCAGAGCGCCGATCGCCGCCGTTCCGCGCCACCATGTATACCCTCACCCCTCGCCTCATCGTCCTTCCCCTGTTCTGGCCGTGAGGACACCGGCCCAAGCCACCGCCGTCCGTGCGCCGCGCCGCCGTTCGTACCGTCGGAACGCCGCCGCCGATCTTGCCGTCCATCGGCGATTGGCCGCTCGTTCCCGTCGACCTGATTTGGATTAGGCGAGTGCTTAATCCCTCAACTTTAATTAGTCTAAAATGCATTTTTAGATAGGTGAATTTAGGGTTTAGTTAGATAGAAATTGACTGGATTATGGGCTGTTGAGTACTAGATGATTGTGTGGTATAATTGAGACTTAATGGGTTAATTTGGAGGTGGATTAGTGTCCTAAATTAGGTTGTTTTATGGCTGTCCCTTATAGAACCGAATTTAATTAATTTGGCTAAGTTGGGGTTTAATTGAATCATCGCCATGATTGCTTGAATTGATTGGTTCAATGACTAATTGGTGCTTATTCGTGATCAAAAATGTAATACCACTTGTGTAGGTTTAGTGGCCGAGAATGATTGGCTAATGGCGGGCGTTGATTGTGCAAGTTTGTGCGCACTAATAGCGCGAGCGACATGTCGTGTTGAAATGTATTAAATGGCAAAATTGGGCAAGCCGTGGCTGAAATGAACTGTTGAATTGATTGGACATGTTGATTCGCACGTTGATTTGGCCATTTGATGATTATGTGCTCTCGAGAAATTTGGCATTCATTGTACATGGCATTGTCGCCTGAGTGTGAGAATTTCATGGCTAAGCATTCGTGTGCCAAGGAAGGACGTGAGGTGAAATAATTGTGGCCTACGGGTCAGTTTATTATTATGGCCTTCGGGTCGGGCCTACGGGTCGGTTTATTGCTGAAAATGGCCTACGAGTCGAGCCCTAAGCGTTTTTACACGGGTCGAAATATTTGTTGGCCTTCGGGTCGTGGCCTTCGGGTCGATTTATAATTGTGGCCTTTGAGTCGTGGCCTCCGGGTTGATTTATAACTGTAAACGAGTTACATGCCAGAGTACATTGCATGAGCATGCGTGTGGCGTACGCGTGATCAGTGTGTGCGCGTATGTGCCGTGAACATTATTATAAATGCCTAACCTACAGGGTCTTTGTATGAGTAATCTGGGTCATGGGCCTAGGTCAATTATTGTGATGTTTATGGTACACTGTTATGCGTGTTTTATTCGCCTGTCAGGAGATGCATGTTAGCCTAGTTTAGGTTTAGGGGTTATTACTTGCTGAGATTCGTCTCACGGTTGTTGGAAACCGACGTTTCAGACCCCCGGCAGTGAGGATGGCAGAGGCGCCCGTACGTTTCGGAATTCCCCACTTCATCGAGAAGACCATGTCTGTACATCCCGTAGGGGACGGGAATATGTACATTAGATACTATACTTTAGTATGGGTAGATGTTGGGGAGTTAGTATCTGAGACCCACGAGTATGTTGCATGGTGTTATAGAACGTTTAATGGGGAGGAGACCGGACCCCTTCGGACTTTTGATATCCCGTTTAACGGGAAGGGTGAGATTGATCCCTAGTGTCCCGATGGGAATATAGTAGACCCCGGCACCTCAGACGAGGAAGTATGAGCTCCGATGGCGTTCCTGTGGAGTACGAGGTTGATGAGGTCGAGCCGATGGACATGGGGCCGGATGATGATGAGTTGGAGCACCCGATGGAGGAGGATCCCGAGCCCGAGGCGATGGACGCAGAGGACGAGCCCGAGGAGGCTGAGTCCGAGTTAGACTCGTTAGATTCTGATAAGGAGCTGCCAGATAGTTCTTCTTCATCAGAGTCTTCTGGTTTTGACCCGAACTGGGTCCCCTAGGTTGACCTTAGCCTTAGATAGAACGGCTGCATCTTTTTGACCGTAGCCGTCTTAGCTCAGTAACCCTTGGCCACTGACCCTTTTTGACCTTAGTGGCCGTTGTTTGCTTTTGGTGGTAGTCTGTACTCCCCGTAAATGGATATTGTATCTACTTTTAATAGTAATGAAATGTATATGTTTTTAATCATATCGATTTCTTGTGCTGTGCTATCCTTGGTTATCTTGTTTATTGTACGGGTATATATATATATATATATATATATATATATATTTTATTTATATATATTTATATTTATATATATTTATATTTATATACGTTGTTTCCGAATGTGTATTGATCTCTGAGCGTTGGGTGTTGGGTCGACGACGCGTCCTGGGACGTCGCAACAAATTCGACCTACGTTGGGATGCTCGCGCTTCGTGGGGTACGGGGCGTGACACTAATGGTTTAAATGGACAATTCTTTCAATACTACTGGGAAGATATAAAGCAGGACGTAGTATCAGAGGTCAGAAACTTCTTTCTTAATGGTGTGCTAGATCCTCAATTGAACAGAACACTTATCTCCTTGGTGCCAAAAGTGAAAAACCCAGAGAAGCTGGAAGAATTTAGACCCATAAGCTTGTGCAATTTCGCATATAAGATCATTGCAAAAGTACTAGCAAACAGACTGAAACCATGACTTCCAGAGTTGATAGAAGCGGAACAGAGTGCCTTTGTAGGATGACGGCAAATCCAGGATAATATCCTAGTAGTCCAGGAAGTCTTGCATCAAATAAGGATACGCAAGCGAAAACGCAAATTCGAGGCGGTCTTAAAGTTAGATATGCAAAAGGCTTATGATTGGATTGAATGGGACTTTCTAAAGGCTTGTATGCTGACAATGGGGTTCAATGAAAGATGGGTTAACATGATTATGCAATGCGTTACAACAACATCCCTGAGTGTCAAATTGAATGGGGAACACTTGCCCTACTTCCAACCCACAAGAGGAATAAGGCAAGGCGACCCTTTATTCCCTTACCTATTCTTACTGGTTGCGAACTTCCTGTCTATGATGATGAAGAAAGCTGTGCAAGACGGAACAATAAAAGGGATACAACTAAATAGAAACTGCCTTGTTCTCTCTCACCTTCTATTTGCAGATGATTCGATCTTCTTCCTAGATGGGAAGATACAAGAATGCGAGAATCTAGCGAGCGTCATCAACCAGTACTATTTTGCTTCGGGACAAGCAGTCAACTTGAACAAGTCAGGTATATTCTTCAGCAAGGACTGCCCTAGTGATCTAAGAAGGAACATGGCTAGAGAACTAAGAGTCCCGAAAATCGACAAAACAGGAAAGTACTTGGGAATACCCTCTGATTGGGGAGTTTCTAAAAAGTAAATGTTTGTTTGGATCCTAGGAAGGGTTAATATGAAGCTCAAAGGGTGGAAAGAAAATACAATGTCTAAAGCGGGGAAAGAAATCCTAATAAAAACTGTTGTCCAAGCATTACCACAGTATGCCATGTCAATTTTCAAGATCCCATTTTCAATATGTCGGGCAATTGAACAAAAAAATTTTGCATTCTGGTGGAAGAATCAACCCGCAAAAAAAGGAGTTCATTGGAGGAAGACCGAAGTCCTTAAACAGAGAAAAGACAGGGGAGGCCTTGGGTTTAGAGATTTAATATCGTTCAATAAGGCAATGTTGGGAAAACAAGCGTGGAAATTAGCACAAAACCATACAACTCTATCTAGTCAGGTGACCCCGAAACCGCCCCACGTTGGGTGGAAGAGTTAAAGAAGGCATTTGATTTGCTGGGGTGCACCGAAACCTAGAAGATTACTCTGGCAACATACCAATTGCAGGACAATGCTAATGACTGGTGGAAAGTCACCAAAGACCGAGTGTTTCCTAAGGGCATAGACCAGACTTGGACTGTATTTATTGAGAGCTTTTACGGGCAATACTTTTCAGAGAGTGCTCAGGAAAAGAAAATGGCGGAGTTCATGAGACTTCGTCAGGGATCAATGACGGTAGTCCAGTATGAGGCAGAGTTTGCGAGACTATCGAAGTTTGCTCCGAGAATGGTATAAAATCCACTGGACAAGGCTCGAAGATTCCGGGATGGTTTGAAACCGGATCTTTGTACTCAGATGCTCCTGCTGAACATTCGAGATTACAGAGAATTGTATGAACGTGCCCAAACGATGGAACGGGATCAGATGGATAGAGCAGCCGCATCTGGGTCACGGTTTGCTCAAAATCGGGATAATCGCCGCTTTGGTAAGAAACCAATGACGGGTAATAGGCGATTTGTCCCACCGCCTAGAAGGGACATCGGGAAGCCTAACCAACAATCGAGCAGATTTGGAGCTTGTTTCAGGTGCGGAAGTTTGGAACATCAGGTTAGGAGCTGTCCCCAACAGCGCCCTTCAGGACCCCCGATGCAACAACCACCCAGAGTTAGAAATCAAGCCGGGAATCCCCCACTGGCTATTCAAGGAAGACCCCCTGCGCAAGGAAGGGTCTATGCAATGGCATGTAAGGATGCTGAGGATGTGCCAGGCGTGGTCACAGGTACCATTTCTCTCTGTGATCATGCTGCATATGCGTTATTTGATTCCGGGGCGACCCATTCATTTATTTCAAAGCAGTTCGTTAGTTTGGTTGGTATTGAACCAGTATTGCTTGAGAATATGCTCTGTGTGTCGACTCCACTGCATGATAGGGTGTTAGTATCGTTGGGGTGTCTTGATTGTAAAATCGTGATTGGGAATAGAGAAGAAAGAATTGATTTGGCTGTATTGGCCATGTATGATTTCGATGTGATCATCGGTATGGATTGGCTGATGAAGTAGAAAGCCGTTATGGATTGCGGCAGTAGGATGATCCAGTTTAACCCGATTGGACATCCTAGGTTCGAATTTCAGGGAAACTGAGGAGGAACCTCGATCCCTTGGATTTCCTCGCTTGAGGTGACTAAGTTGCTCGATGAAGGTTGCGAGGGATATCTGGTGAACGTAATGGATCCGACAGTGGCGGAACCTAAATTGGAAGAAATACCCGTAGTGTGCAATTTCCCCGAGGTCTTTCCTCAGGAATTGCCGGGTTTACCGCCGGAGCGAGAAGTGGAATTTGTAATAGAGTTGACCCCAGGTACCGAGCCAATCTCTAAGGCTCCATATCGGATGTCCTTATCAGAGTTGAAAGAGTTGAAGGTACAGATGCAGGAATTGCTGGATAAAGGGTTTATTCGTCCTAGTGCGTCTCCGTGGGGAGCGCCGGTCCTATTTGTAAGGAAAAAGGACGGGACGTTGAGGTTATGTATAGATTATCGGCAGCTGAACCAAGTAACAGTGAAGAACAAATATCCACTGCCAAGGATCGACGACCTGTTCGATCAGTTACAGGGAGCTTCGGTGTTCTCCAAGATTGATTTAAGGACTGGGTATCACCAGTTGAGGATCCGGAAGGAGGACATACCCAAGACCGCCCTTAGGACGAGATACGGGCACTATGAATTTACAGTGATGCCCTTCGGCTTAACGAATGCCCCTGCAGCTTTCATGGACCTGATGAATAGGGTATTTAAGGAGTTCCTGGACCAGTTCGTCATAGTGTTCATTGATGATATACTAGTGTATTCGAAGAGCCCGGAGGAGCACGAAGTGCATTTGACTGAAGTACTACGGACTTTGAGGGAGCACGCACTTTACGCCAAGTTCAGTAAGTGTGAATTTTGGCTTGGTAAAGTAACGTTCCTTGGACACATAGTTTTGGGAGACGGAATCTCAGTGGACCCAGCTAAGATCGAGGCAGTACTTAAGTGGCCTAGACCGACGTCCGTGACGGAAATTAGGAGTTTCTTGGGATTGGCTGGCTATTATCGACGTTTTGTGGAAGGATTCTCGTCGATAGCCATGCCGCTAACACGATTGCTCAAGAAGGAAGTCAAGTTTGAGTGGGATGACAAGTGTGAGCGGAGTTTTCAGGAGCTGAAGCTCAAGCTGACAACCGCTTCAGTGTTGACTATTCCGTCTGGACCCAGAGGATTTGAAGTCTATAGCGATGCTTCGCTAAGAGGACTCGGTTGTGTATTAATGCAACATGGAAAAGTTGTCGCGTATGCGTCGCGTCAGTTGAGGTCACATGAAATGAACTACCCGACGCACGACTTGGAGCTGGCTGCTATTGTTTTTGCACTCAAGATTTGGAGGCACTACTTGTGTGGGGAAAAATTCCAGATTTATACGGATCACCAGAGCCTCAAGTACTTATTCTCGCAGAAGAAATTGAATATGAGGCAGCGTAGGTGGATGGAACTTCTGAAAGACTACGATTGCGACATCATGTACCATCCTGGGAAAGCGAACCGAGTAGCGGATGCGCTAAGTCGCAAGTCAAGTATGGCGCACATAATGATCAAAGAGTGGACTTTGCTGGAAAGGCTCAGAGATTCAGAATTTAAGTTTGAGTTGAGCCATGTGTCGAACCTGTTGGCTACTTTGAGGATCGAACCGGAGATTCAAGCCAAGATTAAGGCACTGCAGCTCACGGATCAGGAAATTCGAAAGATTGTGGGAATGGATGCCGCTACGAGGAAGTTAGATTTCCAAGTGTCGGACGATGGGATTTTGAAATTTCGAGGGCGTTGGTGTATGCCCGATGATACCGAGCTTAAGGAAGAAATTCTAAGAGAAGCTCACCGCAGCAATTACAATATCCACCCTGGCAGCACGAAAATGTACCAGAATCTGCGGTAGCATTATTGGTGGAATGGAATGAAGAAAGATGTGGCCAAACATGTGGCTAAGTATTTGACGTGCCAACAAGGGAAGGCACAACACTGCAAGCCTGGAGGATTGCTGCGACCGTTAGAAATCCCAGAATGGAAGTGGGAACACATCACCATGGATTTCGTGACGGGGCTACCGAGAAGCCAGAGAGGACACGATTCTATATGGGTGATAGTGGATCGACTTACTAAATCAGCGCACTTCCTAGCAGTGCGAAAAGACTTCGAGTTGGAAAGATATGCCGAACTATATGTGCGACAGATCGTCCGTCTGCATGGAGTACCGGTGACGATCACTTCGGATCGTGACCCGAGGTTTACGGATAATTTTTGGAAGAGTTTACAGACGGCCTTGGGAACAAAAGTACAATTCAGTACGGCTTACCATCCGCAGACAGATGGTCAATCGGAAAGGACAATCCAGACACTTGAGGACATGTTAAGAGCTTGCGTATTGGATTTTCAAGGCAAATGGGAACAACAGTTGCATTTGGTAGAGTTTGCCTATAATAACAGCTACCAACAGAGCATTCAGATGGCACCGTTTGAAGCCTTATATGGTAGGACGTGCAGGATGCCAGTGTGCTGGGACGAAGTAGGTGAGCGAAGTATTACTGGCCCAGAGTTGGTACAGCAGACAGTGGAAGCTGTCGAAATCATTCGAGAAAGGCTGAAGACAGCACAAAGTCACCAGAAAAACTATGCCGATCGGAGACGACGACCTTTGGAATTCCAAGTTGGAGATCATGTATTCCTCAAGGTGTCGCCTATGAAAGGATTGTCCCGATTCGGTAAGAAAGGAAAGCTGAGTCCGAGGTTTGTCGGACCGTTTGAAATTCTGGAAAAGATTGACGATATGGCGTACCGACTTGCCTTGCCACCTAACCTATCCCAAGTACACAATGTTTTTCACGTATCGATGTTGAGAAAGTATGAACCAGACCCGACCCACGTTCTAAGATACGAAAAGATAGACGTGGATGACAGAGTGTCATACGTGGAGAAACCAGTGCGAATCGAAGACAGAAAGGATCGCGTGCTGAGGAACAAAACGATCCCAATGGTCAAGGTCGTATGGGAGCACCATGGAACAGAAGGTGCCACGTGGGAAAGTGAAGAGGCCATGCGACGTCAACACCCCCACTTGTTTGAGGAACAGGTGTAGATTGCAAATTTCGAGGACGAAATTTTCGTAAGGGGGGAAGAGTTGTAACATCCCGAATTTTGACCCATTTCCGAGACCAATAAAGTGTATATTAATTCTCATTTAATTTTAGTGAGTCTCGCCTGGACTTGATCAATCGCAGGATACTAACCCAATGGGAATGGCTAACTAGGAAACGGTACGTGGACCGGGGACCCGATTTCGAGTAACGCCGAGGAAATATTTTGGGCCAATGTGGGCCGATCTTAGGAAGGTGACGGATTCAATTTAGCCAACAACGTACGATCGGATCGCGGGTGATTCCACACGTCCGAAAGTACGCGTGGCGAACGAATCCCGAATTTAATCCGAACGATCGTGACCTACGGCACTAGTGATAATTCCTCGCGTCCTCCCGAAAATCGAGGCCATCACGACTCGGACAACCCTAGGTCAATACGCGTAACCCCTAAACAGTCGCCCGTTAGTGAGAGGCCCTAAAATTCTGAAATGAGCAAATTTGATCGCGAAATTGGATCCGAACTTCGATGTCGAAATTTCGTGGACGTTTACGACTATTTTGCGAGGCCGACGTCATTTTTGAGTGGCCACACATATTTGGGGTTGGTACGGTTGAAAAATGAAATTTCGACCTGGGACCGGAAAATTACCAAAATGCCCCTATGCACTATTTTCATTATTCCGAATTTTGGGCTGAAATTTGAGGTTAATTAAGGAAATTATTAAAGAAATAGCATTAGCCCAATAATTGAGATATTGGACAAAAATGCCCCTAAATTATTGGAGGAGGACAATTGTGGGCCATTAGATCAAGGGCAAAATGGTCAAGATGCTTAGGATTGTGACATGTGGCATCCACTAAGGGGTATTTGACCAACTTTGACCCCATTCTCTCTCTCCTCTCATCTCAGCCGGCCCCTCTTCCTCACGTGCTCTCTCCCTCCCGCCGATCATTTCTCTCGGCCACTCACCGCCGGAGCGCCGTCGCCGTCCGCCGCACGCCGACACGCCGCCGTTGCCACGTCGTCTCACCACCACCACCCTCATCATTCGACCATCTTCTTGCTCTCCTTCTCCCTCTCCTTCGTCGTCCGTGGCCGCTGTCCGCCGAGTGAGCCGACCGCCGCCGGATCACCGTTCTCGTCGTCGTTCGCCGCCGGGAAGCCGAGCACGCCTGAGTGCCGATCGCCGCCGTTCCGCGCCGCCATGTACACCCTCACCCCTCGCCTTACCGTCCTTCCCCTGTTCTGGCCGTGAGGACGCCGGCCCAAGCCACCGCCGTCCGTGCGCCGCGCCGCCGTCCGTACCGTCGGAGCGCCGCCGCCGATCTTGCCGTCCATCGGCGATTGGCCGCTCGTTCCGGTCGACCTGATTTGGATTAGGCGAGTGCTTAATCCCTCAACTTTAATTAGTCTAAAATGCATTTCTAGATAGGTGAATTTAGGGTTTAATTAGATAGAAATTGACTGGATTATGGACTGTTGAGTACTAGATGATTGTGTGGTATAATTGAGACTTAATGGGTTAATTTGAAGGTGGATTAGTGTCCTAAATTAGGTTGTTTTATGGCTGCCCCTTATAGAACCGAATTTAATTAATTTGGCTAAGTTGGGGTTTAATTGAATCATCGCCATGATTGCTTGAATTGATTGGTTCAATGACTAATTGGTGCTTATTCGTGATCAAAAATGTAATACCACGTGTGTAGGTTTAGTGGCCGAGAATGATTGGGTAATGGCGGGCGTTGATTGTGCAAGTTTGTGCTCACTAATAGCGTGAGCGACATGTCGTGTTGAAATGTATTAAATGGCAAAATTGGGCAAGCCGTGGCTGAAATGAACTGTTGAATTGATTGGACATGTTGATTCGCACGTTGATTTGGCCATTTGATGATTATG